ATTATCAATTCTGGTCCCAAAGCTGCCTGACACATTTATTTCTTATGTTATTAAATGTTTATTTATTTTTTTGATGTTTTTCTTGTGTATTGTTTGAAGGAATTGTCCCAATCGGGATTAATAAAGTTGTCTAATTGCTTGTTATACCTGGTGCCATAGTGGGCTTTAAGTTTACAATAATGAAATAAGATATTGGATGAAATTGGTATTAGGCACTAAACAGAAATAAGTGAAAATTAAAAAAGATGGTCCCATCTAAACCTCAGAATGGTTTTCTTTTTTTTTGTTTTTACAAAAAAAAAACATTTTTTTTTCAAAAGAAGGTTAGATAAATGATCATAACAAGAACAACTTTAAAAGAAAGCATGTCAATGCATTGCAGGGCTTGCTAACCGTAACCAGCAGAGTGAACCTCTCCCTGTCCTCCGGTGGGCTGCCGTTGTGTCCAGGGTATTCCCAGGCGATGTTTAGCCCATCAAAGTTATGGCTTCGCAGGAAGCTGATCGCTGATTTAATGAAAGCTTCACGACTATCAGGTTTGCCAACCAAGGAAATAAATCTGAAAGGAAAACATTTGATTTCAGTTTATAGAAAAACGTTCATTGCATTAAAGAGTAAAAAGTGTTGTTAAAGTAGAACCTACGGGCTAACCCCATTCACTGTGCCTCCCACAGACAGCAGAGTCTTCAGCGCAGGGTTGCTGAGACACAGAAAGACAAGAAATAGAGTCAAGAGAAGGAGACGTTAACAGTCACTCTCCTGTCAATACGCTGCAGTTTAGCAGTAGGCCGGTTTCCTTCATCCATCCATCCTGTAATACATCCATATATACGCTGTGTCTTGGTTATACTAGATCCAGTCTGGTTGGATAACAACTCAACCATTGGCTGATTCCAGAAAATCCCTGGGAAGTTCTGGCTCTTCCCTGAGGAAACATTCTGCAGCACTGTGCAGAAGGCACACTGATCAAATGAGAGATTTAAATTAATGAGAATTATAATGCTAATAGTTTTGTTAGGACGTTATAGATTTAGAAAAATAGGTTTTCATAGCCTTCATATACTAAATATAATTTCCTGTGGATGATTTATTTAACCAAAGATTGATTTTTAAAAACAACATTTTCCACTTTCCCTCCAGAAACCATTCATTCCCATTACTTTATGAATTGACTGATAAATGTTAATATAATACTGTAGCTTTAGCCTGGCCAGCCAAACTGGGGCTATAAAGACAGTCTGGTAAGGCTCAATGGTCTCCAGTCTAAACAACGGTCTCCAAAACCAGAAGGCGGGGCCCATAATGCAACAGGGTTTTTCAGTAGCCATAGCACCAGGCTCACAACGAACAAGATGCAGCTGCAGTGCGGGCACTACAAGGAACCCGAATCAATAAAATCAGTGTACATCAGCGATGGTGCAGTCCAGGTCTTTTAGCGCAGAGTCTTTTTTGGCGCTGCACTGGTATTAAAGGAACAGTACACCTAAAATATGATTAGCCTTCATTTTCTACTCACCCCCATGCTGAACAACACTCT